ACTGACAAAACCAAGAAATTCTTAATTCATACTGGTGGTGAAAATTCTACTTCCTCCAAATATTATAAATGCGAAAGTTTGGATGTCTGGATGTTTGTTACTCTTTCACGCAAAAACTACTGAACGGATTTTGATGAAAATTTACAGTATTATTGTTTATAGCCCAGAATAACATATAAGCTATAATTTATGACGATCTGTGATAAAATAAATTTCACGCGGGTGAAGCCGCGGGCAAAAGCTAGTTAAATACTAAATCAGACCCCTTGATGAAGACCTTAATGAAACTGATAACCTTCCTGATTACCACTAAGTTACTAAAATTATTTTTCCTAATTTCAAGATACAAAGGTGTTACTTTCTTGTTTTTAACCTTCTAAAGAGGACCAGGCGAGTCACATACTCTTCTTCTAAACCGTAACGTAAACATTACAAGTTACATAACTAGAAGGCATCTAAGCGATAACCCGCTCATTACGTTACATAACAGCGATTACTTGCTCAAGGACATCCTCATCACAGTATAGGATGGAATGGTAGATCATGTTGGTTTTCATTGCGAGATTGAAGCGATAATAGTGCAACGGTGATTATGTTGGACAGCCCGAAATGAGATCCGAGGAACGCGGGTTCTGTGGTGGACGTGGTAAACCCACTCATAACACAAGCATATTTAGCTTACCACGAGGGGCTACCGCCCGTATTCACAAACATTACTATGGTCTCACAGTGCGCGTGAACTCACAGGGTGACACACACACTGAGCTCTATTCAACGCTGTGCGTTCGATTTACTGCTTCACTTAAGCAAGTTTGTGAACGGGCGTTCTCACTATCGGGGTCTGCATTATCATCAACAGTAGGCTGTTAATGATAATGCAGACCCTATGTCCTAGGCCCTAGGCCCTATGTCCAGCAGTGAACTGCTATAGGTAGCAGTTCACTGCTGGACATAGAACTGCTATAGGTAGCAGTTCACTGCTGCACATAGAACTGCTATATAACATAGGGCCTCTGGCAATAGGCGCAACCTAGATGCAGGGCCAGAGACTTTTCTTAAGTACTGCTGGACATATGGCATCTGGCAATAGGCGCCATTTTAGCCAGGGATAATATACTTTTCACAAGTATTCACTCCACCTAGATGGAGTGCACCTTTACTGCCAAGTAGAGGAATTGACTACTGAATGTCAGAGGTAAATTCATGTCAGTTTTATTAAACCTTTGTTTGTCACCTGTCATCCGCTTTGCAATGGAGGGAAGTCGAACCTTAATTTCGAACTCCTCCTATGTTCTTCTGATTAATTTCGTTGCGGGTCCAATGACAGTTTAACTTTCCCCCGGGACAAACTTGACCTTCATTGGTTGGGTTTTTGTGGCGGTCAAGCTGTAGATCCTGGCTACACAGGAGTTGCAGTGGTGGGAATGAGAGGTGGGAATAGTCCCGTACTGAATGTCATTGCTCTCTCCCAACCTCATTTTAACGAAAACAACGAACAAATAGCACTTAATTAATACTACTCCTTCGTTTTTACTGTGGCATAATAAGTGTTTTCATTTACCCAGGGGATAGGTCGGAGGCTCATCTCGTATATTTTCCTTATTGTTTAATCTGGGCAAAGGGACAATTTAATACAGGTCGTTTGTGCCATTTGCGTATTTGATACTGCCTGGATGTTTAGCTACCTACTTGTAGAAAATTCACAACGAAGTTTTCGTAATACATAATTATATTTTAACTAGCGGCCGCCCGCGACTTCGTACGCCCGGATCCCGTTTTACCCCCTTTGTTTCGTTTCGTAAAATCCTTTCTTAGCGGATGCCTACGTCATAACATTTACCTGCATGCCAAATTTCAGCCCGATCCGTCCAGTGGTTTGGGCTGTGCGTTGATAGATCACTATCTCAGTCAGTCAGTCACCTTTGAGTTTAGAATGTAAGGAAGAGGTTATCAATCGATTTTTATTTTCAAATTTAATTTCGCGCACCAAAATAATCGAAACTGAATCTTCAAACAGCTTCTATTTACATGGAGTCATCGTGATCATCTGAACAAAGTTCGCATCATTGATACAATTAATATTTCATACATCAGCTATCGTTGGGCACATTCCATTCAGGCAATTGATACTAATACGTCGGTTAGTTCTGGTCGCTGACACGATGTGATCGAATCATAACTACAGCACATGCGAAGAATGCAATAAAAGATTTGAATTTGAAAATAAATCTACTAATTGTAATAAGCCTGATTCAAACTGAAGATAGATCATAACTACAGCACATGCGAAGAATGCAATAAAAGATTTGAATTTAAAAAGAAATCTACTAATTGTAATAAGCCTGATTCAAACTGAAGTCAAGTCTCAACTCACAAATTATTTAACAATTACCATTAATCGAGTGTAACACCAGCTCGCAATAAGCGTTTTGATAACTCCTTTTATAATGCGAACAGCTAGGGACTGGAATTCGCTGCCTGCTGCTCTTTCCTAAACACTATAATCCGAGCCTTTTCAGGCGAGAGTGAATAGGCACTTACAGGGCAGATATGTGCCATCCTAGACTGCATCTTTAACACAGTGCGATTGCGGTCAAATACCAGCCTTGTAATGCATAAAAAACATCCATCATGCATACATATTATGGCATTGCACTCGTTAGCACACAACTAGACAAGGACAGCACACGTTTCTTATCTAACGTTACAACCGCGAATGTCCTCTGCGGCTGCAGCTTTCGCAGTTACGATATTATGCGGTGTTGAGTAAACCTATCGCGTTGCGTGCATCATAATGATAAAATGATTAATGATATAGGGTGGTAGTACATCGATCTAACGCGTGGCATCATCTGACAGCGTATAGCAGTACTGCTAACGGAGTGTCCTAGCTGGGCTACGATTGACTGGTGTTGGTAGACATCTTTTCCGATTATACGACCAAAACGACCACTCTTGAAAGAGTGTAGCGACGAAGAAATACGACAAAACGGAGAAAGTGTACACGTTCAGGCGATAGAATATAGGTTCCCAAACTTATTTGAGACGCGCCCCCTTTCGCCTATACAAAAAATTCCGCGCCCCCCCTCCTCCAGTCAAGATTATTTATTGGTCGTATCGAGCAGTCTGGAATGCATTCTCTCAGCGGTCGCAGGTTTTTTATACGATAGAACTTTTTACAGGGATATCCTGTATTTATGCGATTTACTGAGGACTCTCTCTCTCTTCGCACACTTCTAACTGTGTACTCAATCTCTCTTTAACATTTATTTTCCTACTAACGGCTCTAACTGACAAGGACGCAGCACACGTTTCTTATCTAACGTTACAACCGCGAATGTCCTCTGCGGCCGCAGCTTTCGCAGTTACGATATTACGTGGTGTTGAGTAAACCTATCTATCGTGTTTCATGCATCATAATGATATAGGACGGTACTACGTGGCCGAAACAACGTATATTTTGTGCTGATTTCACAGTAGAATCTTTTCAACTCTGCTCTATCTCTAAACCGTCTGAACAAAGCTCTCAAACGCCTCAAATGGAACGAATAAAGTGTACGTTTAGGGTGAGTTATTCATTGTATAAACTTATGTAGGGCCAGCCTGTATCAAAATGTGTGAGACTATTAATGATAATACATACTAGTAGTAGATCATATAAAAAACAATCCAGGGTGACTAACTATGACATAACCGATTGGTTTTAAATGCTGCAAAAAAGACGTCGTGAGAATATGCAATTTAACTACCACTACCAACTAAGAATACCGTCCAAACTTGTTTATTTAATTGGGAATCCAATCATCTTTACATCAGTCACATTCGGCAGTCACGATTAACACATTCTTTTAACATTTGCAACGATTAACAACCATAAATAGAAAAAGCTTGTTGGAACTAAAATGACATGAATGATACAAGTCCTGAAGAATGTTGAATAAAAATAGATACATACAGGGTGGAAACGATAAGTCATCTCACTCGACTCCATTATTTCAAAAGTATACAAGATATCGAAAAACTGCTTACTCATCCTGAAAGTCTCTATCAAACGGTATCAATAAAATAGGTCACAGAATAAACTGGATCTATCCGAAAATTCAATGTTTTTAGTTCAGAAAATTCGAGCAGCACACTATTTGTATATTGTAAACTATATTTTTTGAACTAAATCAATTATTTTATTTATTTCTTACAATGAAACCCCTTAAATAGCTCTAAGGTTACGGGTCAGAAAGGTGCTGAGTCGGTTTAAATATGTTTCAAGTACTATGTATTTAATTTCTAATACAAATCGACTGAAGTCTAGCAATAAAAGTCTACCCCTTAAACAGCCCGCCCTAAGGCGTTAGGTCAGGAAGGCGCTGGTCGGCAAAAGTGGGCCAGTCCGCGCCCACACGCCATTCACTGGGCAAATGGAAAATCTATTCAGATGGCTAAACAATGCGGACTTACTTTTTACTTACTTGCTGTTGTAAGTAGGAGTTCTTTGATACAAATGAGGAGTGAACAGTATTTATAAATGAGTGCGTAAAGAAAGATTTTAATTTATTTTGGGACAACAACTCTGGTTGAAGAATTTTCATATCTTTCTAACTAGAAAAGTCTTCTTACCATCAAAGTGTTAACAGTTAGTTAACAAATCTAAGGCAAGGTTTTTAGAATGAAAAAATGTGTCCCTCAGCCAGCACTGGCGTGCAAAGCAATAGACTAAAATCACTATTAAAAATGCGAACATTTGTAATTAATGACGACTTCACATCGGCTTCTCTGATAAGATTTTCATAGCAATCACATATTATAGCAATAGCTGTGCATTCAAAACTGAGAGCAACTCGACTTACAAATTATGTAGTAGGTACGTAAGTACATGAGTTTGCTTAGCCTTAGTTCAGTGTTGCTACAGTCGTGGTCTGCAGTGTCTGTTGTTTGTTATCGTCAGATTTAAATGTAATGATACTTAACACTCTATACACCCTGTATATTGTCTATGCACTCACCACGAGCGAAAGCCGGTGGTGCGGGGGCGGCGGCGGCAGGCGGGACGGCCGTCGCGATACAGTGCACTGTTCTTTCTGCAACAGACAAACCAATTTATGTTTACTATAGCTATTTACTCTGTAAGCAAAAAAGGGATATGTGAAAGAGGCAAGAGGCAAGGAACTAATCAAAAGTAGGAGGTTTGTAACAATCAAACATTCTCCAAATAAGAAGTGTACTGATACAGAAGTCATACTCTTTTCAGTGATACTTACTACATTACTTGTAACAGTTACAAACATATTTTTATCGCCATCATCAGCCATAATATGGCGTCCTCTAAAAGGCGTATTGCTTCGGGCTAACCCTACAAAATTATAGGAGAGTGCTGAAAAGAAGCAGCGCGAGAAATTCACCTATTTGTCAGTCTGCCTCTTTTTCAGAGGCCTGTAAGTAAGTAAATAAGACAAGAAAAATCTCCTCTCATAGTTTCAGTGCAATGTACTGCAAACGAAATGCAACGACATCGTTCTTTGCTGCTTTTCTCACGTGTTGGTTTTCCGCTTTTCTATCTGTAGCTTATTGGTATTTTACAATTTCCAATTCTCTGTCACAGCTAATAAGAACTAAAATAAAGCTTTTACTTACTCAACATTAAGTTTTCACTTACCACGTGGACGGACAACGTCGGCGCGGACTTGCCGAGAGCTGATCGGCGCATGCGCACGAGGTTGCTGGTCCGCGACCCCTTGCCTGCATCTGCAAACAAAAATATAATTTGGTGTACATATTCGTGCGGAAGAAATTTTTAATGGTTGGATTGGAACTGGTCAAGTATTCATCATTTGAGCCACAGGACGTCCACTGCTGAACATAGGCTTCAATGACTTCCACATCGCACGGTTGGTGGCGGCCTGCATCCAGCGCCTTCCTGCTACCTTTATCAGGTCGTCGGTCCACCTTGTGGGTGGTCAAGTATTACTGATACTGAACTAATCTAGGTTTTGGATACAACGTTAACCAAAAAACATCGAAATACACCTCCAAAACGAAGACCAGTCCAAGAAATAAGACAAAGGGAAATAGATATAAAACAACTTATGACCAAGTCAACGACGATTCCATAAAATAATGCTTAACAAAAACCTAACGCAAATTGAATAGATAGATCGTTTTTATAATAGACCATGGCAATCTAAAAGATACTGCTCTTTATTAACTCCCCTGCTGCTCTTTATTAATAAAAATAAGATCCACAATGCTATGACCAAATCACTTCCTAAATGAGTCAACAAACTATGAAACTACTAGGCCTCTTAACAATTGATATTACATAGCAACAATTATCAACCTTATCTCAATACCCACACGTACCAAACAACAACTGCGGTCGACTGTACGAAATAAGGAAACCATACGAAAACGTGGTTCAAGGGAACTAATGAGGTAGAACAAAGAGTTCTGATATAAAAACTATAATACCATTAAGATCATCTGATACTTAAGCATTTGATTACATTTATAAAGTATTGGAATTACTGATAATGCAAGAGTTTCCAGTTTATATTGTACAGTCAGCGTCAGATAGATCGAAGCGTCTAAGATACCCAAAATAATCTGATATTAAGACATTAGTGGCATATATCCTGCTGTAAATGCCCGTAAGTTTCAGCAAAATGACACCTACTGCTGGAAAAAACCCAAGGATTCCCATGACTGGCCTTGCGCTGCCCGCATCCAGGTACCACTTATGAGACAAAAAGTCTAGGATCAGATTTCACGTATCGAAAGTCATCATCATCATCAGAACATTTAGTCCCCTACTGCAGGATCTCTTTCTTTTCTAATCTAATTTACCAAAGGAGACTTAATCCTACACGTCACACGCTTGTGACGCTGGCCAGACGGGTTGGGGGTTGGGGAGACCTGATGTTCACATAATTGTCCCTTAGTCGCCTTTTACAACATCTACGGGAAGGATGGGAGTGTTCCTATTTTACTCTGCCAGAAACCACACGGCTAACTTCCTCTAATAACACACGAATTCACCGACTGAGTTCCTCAAACAATATTGATTAAAATGTGACGGTGAATCATCGGTGATTCCTATCCGTCACGATGATCCATCCATTAACTTTAGCATCTTATACGTGACTAAGCCAAGATCATCGTGCACGTACAGGCAGTAACGTACGGTATAAAACAAACACTAAACCGGTTTACTGGATAACAGCCATAATTTATTATTGTTGTGGCTCTTTGTTGCAATTTGTACCTACTCCGCATACAGAATACCTACATTCACTTCAAAATAAACTTCGCACTTTAACCAAAGGCTTTTGCAACTTTATGTATGTTGTTAGACAGACAGACAGGTTGAGATTTAAATGAGCTACTTGGCGCCACTGTCTCTTACTCTATAATGCCCTCCAACCGTTTCAGCAATGACCTTCAACTGTTTCAGCGCACGCCAGTTGCCACCACCAGAGTGGCTAGTCCTGGAACTCGCTAAAAATCCTGTCAATCGCTAGTCATAAGTACTCGGAAAAGGGCCTAAGGTACATCCTATTCTACAAAATTTAATTTGAGTGGCTAGACAATAGAGCCAATTGATGAGCGCAAAGACAGCAGCTCTCATTGCGTGAATGGGCATCTCCCGGGAAAACTCGCCCCATCAATATCCCATCTGAACCAGCTTTGATCATCAAGAAACCCAATCAACATAAGAACATTCCTAATGAAGGCATTACAAGCCTTGAAACATTACTATATTGTTAACATGCTCGGCTTTCTGTAACCAATGGCACTTAGCACACTCGTCGACTTCTGTTGTTGCAAGAATTTGGAGAGTTCCTAGAACATACTATCTTTAAAATTTTCTATTAGATGACTTTCATTTCTAGTTTATTGGAAACGGCCGAAAGGTTAATGGATAAGCCAGAATACATTAATTGTTGTCACCATATCAACTTTATGCCACTTTTACCTGACCAAACCCCGATGACGGAGCGAAGGCGGCACGCCCCCGCCGCGCCTAGAATACAAGTTTATAAATACCGCCAAAAGCAATATTTATTTAGAGTTCCCATCGCGTAATATCGTGCGAATCGCTGACGATTGAAAGTTGTTAAGAGTTAGTGATGTTTGGGGTCGACACTTTCGTCGGAAGTATATCGATAGTAGTTTATGTAGAGAAGGTGATTTTCTTAATCGATTTCCCATTGTTTGAGTAAGCGAAGACTAGGTATTCTAAGATTTCTATTGGCCAAAAAGTAAGCGATTCTAATGGTCGTTGTATCTAAGTCGCATTAGATTACCATTAAAAATCGCAGATTTTTAGGAGCTTAAAATAAAGAACTACATGAGACTCAGGATAAATAACAGGGCTAATTTAACCTCTCTAACCAAGTTTGACAAGTATTTCGAAAGACGTAGAAAACATAAAAACAACTTGTAGGTACTGTACAAACAATACTAAGACCTTAGTTACGTGGGACACTATTTAAGTTGTGAGCCTAACTATGAAAACAAAGTAGTTTATTATTAAAATGGTATTGATTGCGTTTATTGGTATTGTCTTTCATGATTCATGTACTTTTTAATGTGTCCGAAACACTTTTCATAGCATTTTTTCCACTCGGCTTGAGGCACCTCCAAAGCATGGTTTTTGACCGCACCGACAGTTGCTTTTGGCTACATAAATCGCTGTTCACGCATTTAATTTTAATATATGGGTACCAAAAGAAGTGTTTATATTCCAAGCAAGAATTTTGTAGCGTTAGACCTGTTTATTTCATATTTTGAGTGTTCAAATAGTCAGTTGTTTGACGAGACGTGTAAAAGCTCACATTTTCGTCACGAATGGCGATTCGACTATGCTGGTCAATTTCCCTTATTAAACTGAAGACTTTTGGAAGAAAAGTGGCTGTTTACTATTAAAAATTAACCATTCTAAATTTCTCTAGTGACGCTTCTATCATATAATCGGATATTTCGGAAAAATAGGCGACCGTTAGTTTTAAAGTGTTCCGAGCGCATGGGACTTTTGTTGGCATTGGTTCATCTTAAAACACCTCCATAGTCGATAGCTGTTTATTTTCAGTATCATTATGCATAGGACCTTAATTCGTCAACTGTCACAATTTAAAGAACGGCTTTTATAGCTTGTTAAACGTATTTATCAAACATTTCCAAGGACTAAACGACACAAGCGTCCTATTGAGCGTTTGAAAAATTTTGTGACATCCAGCGAGAAAAAAACGTATTAACCATAATATGGTCATACAATATTTTATTACTGCTAGTGGAATTAATGCCTAGGATTATCTCAATCCTATGATATATCACATGACGAGGTTTCTCTTCCATTTTTTTTACAACATCAATGTTTTCCGCCACTATTTGTCATTTTGGACTACTTTCGCAAAGTTCACTGGTTAGCCAATGACATACAATATTATATTTCTTAAACTATCATTTTACAATGGTAAAGGACAGATCTTAATCACCAAAATAGAAATTTAGCTGACCGCTTCAGTTTTGTATTGATTAACCACGTCGAAAGTCATAATAAATCTTCGCGCGAAAATTTCCGCAAGTCAATTCCATGTTTTTGTAGTCAAGATAATTTTCAGTTCAATGTTAATAATACAAAACGTGCTCAAATGATAAAAAGTTTTGAATAAGGTTGTAGTCAAAAATGTCAAACTTTTCATTAAAAGTATCAGATGTTGTCTAACAACACGTTATGTTGTCGAGGCTCACAACTTAAATAGTGCCCTAGTATTGACCCCAACAATGCGCCAACATCGTGATTTTTGTTTTTAATTCATTCAAATGAATACTGTAAAAGAATGTAAATATGCAATTTAATTTACATAAATCATCCAGCTATGTATTTTTCAAGTACGAATGTTTTGTAGTGGCGTTTATATTTATTGAAGAAAAATTACCAAGTGAATACGAGTTAGAACATAAATCGGTCGAATTTTATTCACTTCATCACTAGAGATTTGATGCGCATCCACGATAAAATTGCATAAGTGGCAAGTATAAAACTTGAGATAAAAACGTCACATCACCGACGTTTGTGTTATCTGCTAATTGAAAGTGAAACCTGATTATTTATGTTTTTGGGACACAGATAAATCAGCAGTTAGATGTGAAAACTGCTGTGACAAATTTATTGCTACATTAAAAAGTTGTGAGCTGTCAAAATTGACAGGTTTGACGTTAGCATAGGCCGTATCGGATTTCGAAGCACGAAATCTGTTGAGGCAACTGCTCCTTTTGTTACATAGTGGTTTATTGTGTTGGAATCGACACTAGAGTTGCGTAAAGTTATTAAGAAATCTCTCGCGGTGAGCCTGAACCACAAAATAAAATTTAAAAGTTAATAGAAATGTTTAATTTCCAGCCTCTAAGAACAAAGAAGGGAAATTGAAAGCTTTAATTTTCAAGGAGAGCTATTTCCTCCAACAATTATATAGCTATGCAGCCTCTAGCCTCGAAATAGGAATTGAAACTCTATTATTTTAAGTCTAAGGCCCAGAACAGACGGTGAAACGCAACTGCAACTTTCTGATGATTCTTATGAATGAAACTGAAACTGAAAGTTTCAAACTGGTCGCGTCATGTGTGGTCTCTCAGCGGACGCTATGGCAGAAACTTAGATGCAACTCAAAAGTAACTAGCAGTTGCTGTTCTGGGCCTAAAGAAGCATCAGCATTTATCTAACATATTGTAGACTACGTACTTCC